CAACTGTACTTTGTCCGGTACCCACCTCCAATCCCGACCGCGGCATGTTTTCCTGTGCATATAGGTGTCAAAGTACAGGACGACCCTTCCAGACCCACATAGATCCACTCGGGCCAGAGGTGAGACGTTTTTCTTTAGTCTCGGCCCCTGCCTTGCTTTTGCTTTTTACTCCCGCATCTCTCCCTGGCTCCTCGGGTTCCGGCCCATTTTTTCTGTGCTGACGGCGGCCGTTTTGAGTTTCCCTCAGCTGCCATTTTCTTTCCCGGAGAGTGCCAAGGACTTTGCACCGGCAGGAGGGGCATTAGTCCAGGGAAAGTTTTCTGGAAATGCACGCGTCTCAAACCGATTTTGCTAGGTTTTTAGTGAAATTCCGCCGATTTATCTGTTTTTATAAACGAAGCTCCGAAAAGAAATATTCTACGTAATTTTTTTTGGAAACGCAGCACTTTCGGAACATTTTAGCTACATTTTTAAGTTTCTTTTCAATATTCGACCGTTTTCTACGGTTTCCACCCTTCCATTATTCGCCAAAAACCCACTCACTTTGTTTTCCGCTCTAGAAGTTTCGGAAAATACGACCAGAACAAAACCCTTTGTCCCATTTCCTCGCCCACTTACAGTATCGCCCAAAATCAGTAGCTCAAAACAGGTTTTTACCACAAATCGGAACGGCAGATACGGGAACGCGCTGAGAAAACAGTTCATTCGCCCGAGAAAAAGTTTTATGGCGTTGTTGTGAGCAGCCTGGATGTGTTATTTACTGGCTTTTCCAACGGGATCGCCCCGTTTGAATTTTGTATCTTTCTCTTGTTCTAAAATACCTGGATTTTTTGAGATTCTAAAGCGAAGCAACGACCGCGTTCTGTGACAGAAAATAGTAGCGGTGAGTCAGGTTTCGGTTTTCGTTTCGTTTGTACGAACGAAACGATGACTCGACCCGCTTGTGTGCATTTTTGTATTCCAAGACTATTGGCTTCATCTTGTTACCATTACATATACTATTATGACTATCTTAAAGGTATATTGATTGACGTTATAAATTAGCTGTAGTGGAAATATGTGTATTTCCCCCACACGCTCTCTTAGCCCATTGTCCCAAAAGACAGTCTGCCCAGCTGCCAATCGAATGGGGCCCCTTCCCTCATCTTTCCACCGTGCGCATCCAGCCTCGCCGCCCGGTTAGCTCAGTCGGTAGAGCACCAGACTCTTAATCTGGTTGTCGCGGGTTCGAGCCCCGCATTGGGCTTACTTTTTGCTTTTTGACCAGAGAGCTTGATTTAGCAATCTTTACCCTTATCAAGGCTTGTTTGCAGGTTTTAGGCTCGAAGAGTCATTGTCATAGGTCTGAATCAACTCAACCTATTAAGTCAGGTTTAAATGCAATTATGAATATTTTTTTTGTTTCCGACCGGATCAGCCCATCCACAGGCTATACTTTGGCCCCTGGGCACTCGGCTGCCGATCAAAAAGAGCCTCGGCCCTCACTGTGGCCATGTGACACCACACCCCGGTTCCTCAGGCCAGTGCACAGAAAAAAGAAGGCAAAGAATGTTTTCGCCAGTTCAGCGCCGTGGTGTTCATCATTTCAGGGTCATCGATTGGAATGTCAATTCCCACAATAGTGCGCTGTTTTATCTCACGATCACCAATGCATTTCCTCATTTATCTCGCCCTTTGGCAGATCCGCATCTGTTCCCAGGTGCCAAATTATGCCCCGGGGCATATATATGTGGATATGTCTGCTTTTTTTGGACGAGGATGATGGGGACAAAGTACAATCGGTACCCAGACCTTTGTGAAACTCTAAAACGCATTCAACGCTATTTCAGGCGTTTTCATCAATTTGGATCTGCTTAGGCAGTTTTTGAATTTTTAGAGCTTACTGCTAAAGTTTGCTAAGCCAATAAAACTTCATAGGTGAGATCATTCGCTATTTAAATTTTGAGAATTCTTTTAGCTGATTTTCTGCTGCGGTTTAAGATCGATTTGAATTGGCAGCGGATCGCTTTGATTAGTAAACAGAATTAGGCTTAGGCTATGCTTAGGCTTGAGCTTATGCTTGGGCTTAGGCTTAGGCTATCTCCAGGCAAGTCTAGGGCAGATAAAAGTTAATACCACTCACTTATGCGCAATTTTCGCACCGCCTCCTAGTCAGCATCCCATATTTATTCCCACCGATCCCATAAAGCCTCCAATAGTCATCCAGACCTAAAAAAGAACCGATGACAGCCAGAGTATTAGAGAAAGAGCCCCGCTAAAGGTGTATATGGGAGGATGATGTGTCTGTCTGTGGTGGTGTCTGTTTCCTCTCCCCGGATCCGCGATCCCTTGCTATCTCTCGTCCTCTGCCCCAATCCCGATCTATCTCTTGCCCTAGCCCCCTGCCTAGCGACTTGTGTATTCCAGCCAACCGTCTCCTCCACGTTTTCCACCACCCCCTGGTCTACCCCCTGCCCCTGCTCACAAACAACTAATATTTGAAGGCGCCCGCCGTTGTGGGGGTACTCGGTGATGTTCTTCTGGTAGACGATCGTTTTTGGTGGTGATTTTATTGATTTTCTAGACCTTATTAGCCTGTGAAATAGCTGGATCGTAGAGGGTTTCATCTTAGAAGGGAACCTCAGGTTGGCACGGTGGAATTTCGAAAAACGCTCGCGGCTACCCTAGGTTTTCGACTATGTTAATTTCTTAGTATGATCTTATTCGGCGGAAATTTCAGATGAGTCGAGAATTTTTTGTTGAAAGTTGAAATTTTTTGTGTGCTTAAAAACCTTATACGGTCTTATTAGAGCGAAGTTCTTCCTGCTCATCAAACCGGAAATACGGAAAAGTCAGACTTTGACTGATAAAATTAGCACCTCTAAAAATAACTCTTTTTAACTAGTATGAATGCAAAGCTTTCTCAGATAGGCTAAAATTATAGAATTTCATAATATTTCTCAATTTAGCTACTCCCCAATAAGAAGAACTACCCGAATTTATGCATCGCAATTTGATTCCCCGCAAAACTGCATCAAATCCGAAACCGTGATGGATGGGAGGACCCCCGCAAAACGCAAAAAGGCGTGATTCGCATTCGGGCACACACACTTTTTTATTACAATCCACCACCGCGGAGAGCCCGGGCGGCTGCGTGGCTGGCTGACCGATTGATACTCTCCGAACCGGCACCCGTTTTTCCTACTTTTTTTGCTGACTTGAGCGCATCCTTTCGGGTTTTCTTTCGCAAATGCATTGCAATAAAATCAGGGATGAGATAAACAATGCGTTCCTATTTTTGGCATCCCTGAAAAACTCAGGGTTCAAGGGTTTTTGTATAAAAATAAATTTTTGTGTGGAAAGCATTGTAGTTTAGCCGTTTTTGGCTTGCTATACCTTTAAAAACATGAAACTTAAAGAAAAGTTCTAAAACTGAACGGCGGATAAGACCGAGTTGTTAGAAGCGCTTGGAACGGATTTTCACTTTTATTTTCTGGCCAGTAGGTTTCAAATTTGGCAAAAAAATCTGAACTTTTGAATCAGCACGTGACTCCAGCTTTTTTGCTTTGAGAAGCCGAAATAGAGAGAGAGAGAGAGAGAGAGAGAGAGAGAGAGAGAGACCGAAACAGAAGCCCGCACCACTAGAATATTTGTCTGTTTGTCCCCATTGCTGTGGCCCCAGAATGAGGAGGGCCCAATCTGTGGCAAAGTGCACTCAACGACGCACAAAAAATGCCCCCCTTTCCTTGGTGTCTTCCCATGCGAGGCCATTTTATGAGCAACGCCGAATTGGGATGTGTTTTCCGGCGGTTGTGTGTCTTGTTTTAAACGGCCGCCCGCTCGCTCAAGGTCCATTGATTTCGCGACAAATTTTTGTTTTGGTTTGCTCGTCACCGGGTTGGTGTGGGGGAAAATGAGATAAGCCGCTGTTCGTGTCGGTTTACCACGGGTGTTAGCTTTTAAAGTGTCTGTTGGTTTTTAACGTACCCGTTTTGCGTCTTTGCGTTTTCTGAGTTAATTTGTACCGCTTTTTTGTTGGGGTTTCAGAATTTTTTATAGGGTTTTTAAGGTTTTTACCAAAACAGCGTGGAAATTGAAAATTAGATTTTTTTCAAGATAAGCGCATTTTTTTTCGGCCATAGGCAATCAGGGTGAAGCACCTTTCACTGACTTTTTACCTTTTTCCGTCTTTCTAGTTTCAGGATTTCAGAGTTTTGCAATTTTTTATTATTTTTCGCATTCATCGCCATTCGCATTTTCGAATCAGCCACCTGGCTTCAACGCTTTTTGCCTAATTTTCCGAAAAAAGGCAAAAGAGGACCCCCCACGTGTATTCCCTTACGGGGCAACTGCCCTTTTTTGTCCAAAATATGCCCTCTGCGGCCGGAAAGGGGGAGGCCGCACGCCTTGTTTATCCCGTCTTTTTCGGAGGGAACCGATATCAAAATGCATTTTGTGCTGGGGTGGCTGGTCTGGGCCGGCCAGGCTTTGTTTATCTCATTTGGACAAAGTATTCGAAATTTTCTGAAGTACGTGATAATTAAAGTCAACTATTTTTAAGCGTATATCTGAATTAGAGTCTTGTGTATATCAGTCAAGAGTTTTGGCAAGTTTGATTATTATTTTACCCTCAAAACCGGGTTCTTTACTGGATGCTACGCGCCGTTCCTATTATGGATGCTATGACCTCTAAATGTTACTGATTTTGGCAAGATAACCGAAGGCTGTTGGATTGATGGCGGATGATTTGCTAGTATCTTAAGACTTTATTACTTACCTACTTTTATACCATTTTTCAAATTTCCTTTTGAAAACTTCATGCCACAATCCTCATTCTTCGATCACCTGAGCCTCAAACTCCTCACGCCACCCCTTCGAACCATCACTTTTTACAGGTGTTGACACCGCGAGATCTGTATCTGCCACACCGAGAGAAGCACAGATTCAGGTCGAAAGAATAGTGCGGAGAAGTAGAGACGCGAGAGATCACCAGACGATCAACCCCTTAAAAAGCAGCGAAAATGAAGGAGGGGCCCGGGTCACGGTTGGCCAGGAAGAACTCGTTGGAGCGGAGAGACTCGATCGTCGACGATTTGGAGGATCACCCGCCTTTCTATATCACGATGATGATTGGAGTGTTGAAGTAAGCTTTAAAACTATAGGCCGGATGCATTAAACAAAATTTGGATAAGAAAACCCACGGCTGGGTTCTTAAAATCAACTTTTTGTGCTCCCTTGTGGTTTGAATTTGCCCTGTAATCAACGATGTCAATTCAACGTTGATTGGAAAATTTTATATAAGTTTTAAAAGCAACACGAATGCATCAACCTAAAATATTCATCCAAAAATTATATGGAATTTTTTGTAGTAACGTTTTTGGCTCCCAGGCGGTCAAAAGTTCTCTCGCTACCCCAGGTGTCAATCCAAGCAGGCCATCCGTGGGGGCCCCTCCCTCTCATGACTCCCTATCCCCATCCACCGCTCGCCGCCCGGTTAGCTCAGTCGGTAGAGCACCAGACTCTTAATCTGGTTGTCGCGGGTTCGAGCCCCGCATTGGGCTTACTTTTTGCTTTTTGGGGAAATGACTTGTTCCTATCCTTAACATTAGCCTGACAATTCACAAAAATTGTTTTAGAGCTATTTTCCTGTTCTACGATGTCGTCACCTACGTGCCGCATATGGTTTTCTCCAATCCAGCGGCAAAGAAAGAGAAATCTGAGCGAGTGAAGGTGAGCAGAAGCTAAAAATCCACCAAACTGGACAAGCACTTTCCCCGGGTTCTCCTTGTTTTTGCGCGCTGGTGAAAGCCCTCAAGGCTGTTTACGAGATGAGTCTATGCACACGCTCTATGCGCCGTACTCGACAATAGTGTAAACTCGTAAACAACGCTCGCGGGCCGGCTAAGAATTGATCGTGGTGGGACCTGGGGGTTGGGGTGAGGGCTGTTAGTGCTGTCGGTGGGGTGATGTTTTCTTGATGGTCCGTCCGTGTGCGTGTCTGGGCAAACGAACGGCCGGGTGAGTAAGGTATCGAAAAGGCCAAGCGAAGGAAGAGGTTGTTGAAATTGAAAAGTGCTACCACGTCAGATGAAACTTTGGAAAAGCGCTAAGATATTGATGCAACATAGAAAAAAAATAGCAACGACCTTAAAAATTTTAAAATAAGGAATTATGTATTAAAAATGACCTCGAAAAACGAAACTTTCCAGGCACTACCCCGAAAAGAAAACGAACCATCGAGTCCGTGGGTCCATGTTGATGTCAAGGACGGCAAGCTGATCAAGGCCGACAAGACGCTGGGCCAGATCTGGGATGAAGCTGTCAAGTAAACCTAGACAATCGGCTCTAATTTTTTTCTAGCTTCTATGAAGATTTGCCCTGCATGGGAACCCGTGAGGTGCTGAAGATCACCAAGGAGAAGCAGGACTCGGGCAAGGTCTTCGAGAAGGTATGGTTTTCTCTGAGTTTCGCCGGTTAAAATTCTTCCTCTGAAAGCGATTTTTATACATTAAAAAAGGTATAAAGGACATAGGTTTTCTGTAAAAATCTTTGCAACTCTTCAATAGATCCAATTTTCAGTGGGAGATGGGCAAATACAACTGGCGCTCGTACAACCAGGTCAACCAGCGTGTCAACTTGGTCGCAGGGTACTTTTGAAGGCATTAATGACAAACCTAAACCTTTAGAGCATTGAAGAAAATGGGCCTAAAACCCAAGGACCCGGTGGTGATCTTTGCCGAGACCCGTGAGGAATGGATGACCACCGCCTTAGCTTGCTTCAAGATGAACTTCCCGGGTGAGCTTTTGTCGCAAATTCTCCAAACGTAATTTAGCTAGAATTTCCAAGCAAACCCAAAACTGAATTAAGCTGGTAATAAAGTTCAATAAACTTAATTTAGTCGCCACCGTCTACGCTACCCTCGGCGAAGACGCCGTCTGCTACGCCCTCAACCAAGTTCAGGCCAAGACGATTTTCACCACCGAGTCACTGTTGCCAATTGTATGTTTTCTCGTAAAAGGCCGTTGAAGTCCAAGTTAGGAAAGTGTATAACATCGCTCTAGGTCATGAAAGCCATGAAAGATGGCGCCGAGCTGAAGAACATCGTCTACTACGAATCCAACGACCCCAACGAGAAAAACGGCAAGAAGAAGAATGGCGATGCTGAGTGTGTTTTAGCACCTATATGCGACCATGCCCACATTTTGATCCCGGCTAATAAGCTGTTTTTTTCTAGGAAGTCGAGATACAACATTTTTTAGGTAATCTCCTTCTCGGACCTCTTGAACAAGGGCGACAACAACTTTACTCCAGGTTTGGACAAATTAAATTTAATGATTCGACTCCGTTTAGGAAAAGAAAATAAGCCGTCGCTCGACGATGTGGCAATGATCATGTACACTTCCGGAACCACGGGAAATCCGAAGGGAGTTATGCTGGCTCACCGGAATATTGTCGCCGCCACAGCCGGACAGGGCTTTGACATTGATGTCGAGTAAGTTAAAACATTATAATCGGCCTAGAAAATTGCTCAAAATCCTTAAAATATCTCTTACGCCTCATTTTTTAGTCCGAAAGACACCTACATCGGTTATTTACCGCTCGCTCACATCCTGGAAGTTTGCGCCGAATGTGTATGCATTATCAAGGTATGGAAACCCACGCTTTAACGAACCTACTATTTCTTAAGGGAACCAAAATTGGATATTCATCCGCACAAACACTCTTCGATCGCGCCCCCAAGATTCCGAAAGGCCACAAGGGAGATACCTCCGAGCTGAAGCCGACTTTGATGGCGTGCGTACCGGTAAGTAATAATTAATTATAAGAGTCTACGATAGCACAAAATACCTTACAGAAGCCAGAAATACCTATGAAATTACTTTGAATTTTTAGGCCGTGATGGACCGCATCTACAAGGCTGTTGTTGATGACGTTAATTCCCGATCCCCGCTATTCAGGGTAAGTATCTAAGGACTCTTAATGGACGTTAGGGGCATTTTATAGCTTAACCTAATTGAAATCAAAATGTTATATTTATTCACTCTAGAGAATCTCAAAACTCATCTAAACCCGCTTTTCAGGAAGTCTTCAAGTGCATGTACGAGCGCAAAAGGTCACGCTACGAGGAAGGCTACAAGACACTACTCCTGAACAAGTTCGGCATACCCTTAAATCATAAATTTGTCGTTTCAGATTGGTATTCAACAAAATCGGCAAGATCCTGGGCGGCGAGCTGCGATGCGTGTTGTCTGGTGGAGCCCCGTTGTCACCGGAAACTCAAAGGTACGTCGTGCTCAAAAACGCATATTGATGCTGTTTCAGATTCATGAACATTTGCTTCTGCTGCCCGGTCATTCAGGGATACGGTTTGACAGAGACTTGCGGAGGAGCGACGATTGCTGATTGTAAGTTGAGCAAAGATGGGCTTAGGCTTATGGTTATGCCTAGGCTTAGGCTTCGGCTTCGGAGTCTTAGAACCTTCAGGTCGGCGAATGTTATGAATTATTCTAGTGCACGACCTCTCCACCGGAACCGTCGGCCCACCCCTCCGTTGCGCCCAAATCATCCTCGAAGCCTGGGAAGAAGCCGGATACTCGCCCGACAACGAGACCCCACAGGGAGAGGTAATACCAGTTTTAATCGTCCCTTACAATCCATAACTGACAGGTTCTAATCGGTGGAGACCACGTTGCACTTGGCTACTACAAAGACGAGAAAAAGACGAAGGAAGAATTCTTGGAAAGGAATGGTGTCCGATATTTCGCGACTGGAGACATTGGAGAGTTCCGTGCTGATGGATCCTTGAAGATTATTGGTATGCAAATGTTCCCGAATTTTTAACGAGATTACTGATTTCCAGATCGTAAAAAGGATCTGCTCAAGCTGTCCCATGGAGAGTATATCTCGCTGGGAAAGGTCGAGACGAATCTGTTGACGAATCCGTTGATCGAGAACATCTGCGTCTATGGAGATTCGAACAAATCTTATGTGATTGCGTTGGTTGTGCCGAATCAAAAGAATTTGTCTGCATTGGCGGAGAAGGTGAGGAAGAGAGAGAGAGCGAGAGAAAGAGAGAGAGAGAGAGAGAGAGAGAGAGAGAGAGCCAGGGCGCGACTGCCCTGCCGAATTCTTCATAATCAACCAGGAAATTTCAGAATGGCGTAGACACCGGTAACTGGGAAAAAGTCTGCGCGAACCCCAAGATCGTCAAAGCCGTACTCGATGAGCTGACCGGATACGTTAAAGGTTCGTCTCTTCACTCGGACGTCTGAAATCCATTTCAGGAAAACTGGAGCGCGCCGAAATCCCCCAGAAGATCCACCTGTGCCATGAGCCCTGGACGCCAGCTTCTGGTCTCCTAACGGAAGCGCTGAAGCTGAAGCGCAAGAACATCGAGAAGGAGTTCAAGGAAGAGATCGAGCGGTTGTACAAGTGAGTTTCAGATTTAGCGTTTTTCAGAATATATGGAAAATCGCATTTTTTACAGATTCCGGAATTTACACATTCATTGACATTATCAAGGTCAATTTTCTAGGCGAAAAAAGCTATTTACAAGCTAAAATAACAGACGAAATTAAAAATACAACTAATGTTTCCAGATAAATCTCACCTGGCCCCACCTACCATATGCAATCAATGCCACACCCCCAGATGAACAATTCAACAGCATCTCATCGCACCTGTTACATATTCTCCTATTTTTCTCCGCCCTCACTCCCGCCCCTTTTTTGCTACTTCCTAAATCTTGCTCCACTAGAAGGGTACCCATCATCTGTGTCTCTCCACACACTAGCGAATTTACTATGTTTCGGGCTAACCGCTAGCATTTTTATGTATTTCCCTCTCGTCCTCGAGGCCATTTATCGCTGCCCCCATTGTACATTTGTTCCCCTGGACGGATCCACTTTTTAGAATGTGCCTTGACGTCCCCCGTTTATTAATGCCGACACGGTGCCTTTTCGATATTCTGCTGCGATTTTTGTGAGATTTCATTGCTCAAACGAGAACGCGTTTCCCCTCGGATTCTACCTGTCTTTTCTTGGAACTAGCCACTACGAGACGTTACGTTGTTATGACGATAAATTTATTGAAAAGTTGCTGTCCCTGAAAATGCATGAAATGGCTTTAGAAGCTGGTTCGGAAGCGGGATTCGGCAGCGGTGGTGGATTCGGTAGGCGAGGCTGAAAAATAAGTGTGATTAGCATTATATATAGGTTTAGGATTAGGCTAAGGATTAGGCTTGAGCTTTTCGTTGTGTCACCAAACCTACGTTGAAAAATAGAATGCATAACTTTTGTAACTTACCAAATTTATCACGTACGCACTCCCCGAACGCCGCCCGGAAACCTCGATAACATACACATACGTCACGCTGACAAGTCGTCAAAGCACGACATAACTGAATGTTCAAAATGATCTTTTCGCGGTTTGTGGGTAAAAATTCGATACTTTTTTAACCTACCCCGCCAATCCCACACTTTCCACCAGCCAGCCCGATGTTGGGACGTCCTAAAATGCTATTTTATAACCCCAGTCAACCTACCATTGTGGGAATTGTAAATCGGTTTGAAAGGCTTGGGAGTAGAAGCCTTGGCTTTGGCTTTGTACGCATCAGCCACTCGACTTTCCAAGGTGAAAAGATTTGCTTTTGCGGTTGTAGTCGGGGTCAGGGCATTCCGGTCGGCCAGCTCGAGAACGATCTCAAGGTATGGGCGGATGCCAATAAAATATTTGCTACCGGTTCAACGCATAGTTCTTGGAGCTTTTTCATGCCTTCGACGCAGAGACAGTAGCCTTCTAAATAAACAAATAACCGAATAGATTCAAAAACAAAAAATTTCTTAAACTTACCGCTGTAGAAAGCTTCGATATTTTAAATGCTATTCATATAAAAAATCTAAGCTTCATATACTTACCAATACAAACCGAATCACCCTCGCAGTGAATCACACTAGAGCATGATTGCCCTGGTCGAGCTAAAACTTGAGCTCAACTCATCTAAAGATATTTTACCAGCTTCTGTCACTACGAAATACACCTCAAAACAGGCGAATAGAGCTAGTAACCGCATCTTTCAGATAGATAGAACGCGAAAAACGGCTTTCTGAATGGAGCGTGCAAGCGCCCGGGGGCTGCTTGACAGGTTTGGGTAGCGTCCCGGGTCCGGTGTGCAAATAAGGCATAGTTTTCACGTTGGTGATTGATACTTTGGAGCTGAGGATTGGGCCTGAAAAGTTGCAAGAAATAGATTATATCGGTAAAACTGGATACATTAAAAATTTGGTTGTTTCGTGAAGATGCTATACCTTTGAATTCCATTATACTGCCGCTGATTTTTTTTCTGCTAATTCCCAGACTAAACGTATTATCCTCACGTCACGTATAGTATCATATGGAACCAGGAAAAGCCTAGAGAACAATGTGATTCTCCGCCTCCGATCCTCAAAAGTTCAAGGATATTTTCGATCAACGGGACGATATCCCCAAAATGGCCGTCCAAGGTCAGCTGGTTGTTATTGGCATCGATCCGTGCATTTCTCAACTAGAGGTACGTTTTCATTGTTGTCACCTTTTCAAAATAGCACTGGGTTTCCATCATATATCCAGAAAAATTGTTTTCTTACTTTAATCAACTTTTAGCAAAAATTGTATGTGGCTCTGCAAGCCCCTGACAATTCCAAAAATGCCGGTGCTCGAGCAGCACTACACGAGTTGCTATGGGAAAGTGAGGGCGAGGGTAAGGTGCAACTTTTAATTTATATATTTTTTAAGTTCGGAATCATATTAATGCTGACCCTTGAGACGGCCTGGATCCTCGGATGGGCTATATTTGCATTAATCCATGACACCTCTGATTTTTTGATTATGGTAAGTACAGGGTGTTCCAAAAGTTCTGGCAAAATGTTTTTGGTCGTAAAATGGCTCAGAAATCTCGGAAGCCAATGAAACTGTTGTACCTAATTGGTTACGATCCACTCTTTAATGTGGCAAGAATCGGTTTTTAGAAAATTCGCTTTTGAATTTGGTAGGGGGGTATAATATCTCTGATTCAAAATGGCCACGGCACGGCCCCTTTTGCTGGCATATCACTCCGGAGCTTTCTAGCCATGCTTCCGATTCGTATCATATTTGAATAACAGGTAGTTCGGCGCACCACCTACGTTATCCATAGTCAGAAAAAAAACTTATTACCACGGATGCGCAAGTCAGCGCGCGTTTAACTTATGGGCAAAAACAGCCTTCGCCCAAAGCCGAGATTTGCCAATTTTTCCTGCGATCCAAATTGGTATGCATGAGGGCCGGGCCGCTTACATAAGCGTAGGCATAATACATCTGGGCTAGTATTCCCATAAAACACCACTTAAAAAGATCCAATCGTTTATCTGATTTTTTTTAAATAGCCAAACATTCGATAAACGCACGGCAAGCACCGAATTCTCCAGTTGGGCTTGATTTGTCAAGTGTTTGGGGAAAAATTATTTGTGTATCAGACATGATTTTGGTTTTCCCTATTGCCTGGCATCAGTAGCAAAAGCGACCAACAACTCACGTTCGATTCTGAAGTGAAATCGCGGTGAAAAGTTAGCCCTTTCTTACAACATAGCTTACAAAAACGGATGGTAAATCGATGCCGTGCTCGTCATTATATCGATCCAACCTAACTTTTTTTGGCTAATTCGTTACATTACCGTTTGCTTAACATGACAAATAATCTATAAAGGTGACAGGAAAGCAGGAGTGCAAGCCATAGCATTTTGCCAGAACTTTTGGAACACCCTGTACAATATGGAGATATTTTATGAATTCTTTAGCTACCTGTATTCTTTTTGATGCTATTAGCTCGAGCACCCGCTTTTCTGGGTTTGCTGACCTATAAACCGGTCTTTATGCAAATATACTTGATTTCATATGTAAGGTGAATCCCTCGAGAAATACATTAAGCTTTAGGTATTGGAGCTGTTGATTATCGTGATCATCGCTATTTTGATAAATGCCGTATCTTCATGGAAGTACCAAAAACACTTTAGTCTTTAGTTTATGTATCTTAAGGGAATACTTCCGGGAGCAGCACGGCCGGTTTGACGTTCTTGCCATGGTAGCAGGTAGGATTTTCGACGTTACTTGGCTATAGCTATCTTTTTCTAGTTTTCATTGCCTATTTCACGCTCTGGGGAGTCGCGGCAAAATGGCAGTTCTATCGCTACGTCAGGTAAACAATGGTTACCCAAAAAATCCTCCATATTTTCTCAGAGATCTCCAACTAGAGAAGGAACAGCAAGAAAACCCTGCCATCATCAGACACGAGAATCCCAAAAGATTTTGATAAATTTTGTGCACTAATGGTTAATTTTACTGATTATTGGACCAAAACTCCGATTTGTACATCTTACGGATAGAATGAACACATCTTATTTTTATATTTGGTGCTTTGAAGCTTTAAAAGTCATCAAGCTTCAATAAATATTTATTTTTGCACATTTCTGATCACAATACACCCGTAATGAGATCACGCACAAATTCCCCCTTCAACGTTTGCATACATTTTCGATAGATTGGCTGTTTCCGGTATTTGTGAATTTCGAAGGAAGGGGCGTGAGGCTGGTGGAGGATGAAGCCGGAGGGGTGGACGTTAAATTTGAATCTGAATATTTCAATTGGAAGGTATTTCCAATTACCCCAGTCGGTTTAACTGCATCGCGTGAGCTACTTTGTTCCAGCCGAAGCCGACAAAGCGACGGTCGTAAAGCGGACAGTCCGATTTTCGGATCATGAAGTATGGTTCGTAGTCTTGCGCCCAGGATGTCTAAAAAAAAATGTTAATTAGACTTAGGTAGAGACTTAGGCTTTTGCTTACGCTAACAAAATTCATACGTACCGCGTACTGCGCTCCACTCTCCCTCCATCTACTGTAATTTGTAGGCGCGTGCCCCTGCGGCCAAACGTCAGATCGAAACGGCTGGACCTAAGCATTTCGGCTTGATCCCACATTTTGAGTTCACGTACCGTGCCCAAATCCCATTCCTTCAGCAATTCTTCCTTCTCGAGAAGCTCACTAGTGCCGGATCGAGTCATCTCGAATGCTGGTACAACCAGAACGGAATTTGCAGCAAATTCGGCGGTTGATGACAGCAACGCTCCCTCGAGGCCTGAAGCTCGAAAATTAATGTGTCGGAAATGGCACCATTGATAACAAAAGTCGGATTTTGATTTTTAAAGTAGTTCAAAACACAAATTCATTAGGGTAGCGATGTGAGAGATGGATAGATAGAGAGAGAGAGAGAGAGAGAGAGAGAGAGAGAGAGAGAGAGAGAGAGCGAGAGAGAGAGTGATAAAGAAAAAGAGAGGTTGAGCTGACTCACGTGGCTCACTTGCAAAGCTACCCTATGAAAATCCACAGTTCAGCATCAGCCTCTGATTTTGAAACTTGATCCCGATGTGCCAGGATAATTTAATTATGCTCAGATTCCGCCTCGTCCACCTTGCCATATTTCTGCATAATGAATTCAGAACAAAATTTCTCTCCCCAGAGGCGCACAAAAATCAGCCTTCAAGCGCCTACATGAAGCCATTAGGGCCAAGTGAGTCAGCTCGCTTGCTCAAATCACAAGATCCCAATCCGTGCCAGGATTTCAGAAACGCCCCCCACCTCGAGATGGCAAGAAGTCGACGTCCAGCAGAAAGATAAACTCGCTGCGGGTGGCGTTAATCGCCACGTTTCGTAGATAATTGACGGGGTAGAACGGCTGAAAATGAACAGCGATTGACGGTTTTTAGAGCTTTTTCGAGGCGTTCGGCCTGGTTGGTAATCGAATTTGAAGACATGCCATTTTTGGTCAAATATGCTTAAAAAGTTGCGGCTTGTCCTTGATACATTCCACGTAGTGCTAGACTTCCCTAGTTTAAAAATTATACATTTATGCAAATTAATAATTAAGGATCAGTTCAAGCTATTTTTTATCGAATACTCCAAAATATGTTACAGCGTACCCCTTTTTTAAACACGCCGTGTAAACCGATATTTTTCCTCGTTTTCCCTAGCTTCGAACTCTTCCAAAATTCCATTAATTGAAAAACTTCCGCATCACTACCATAAACAGCCGCCGATATCGGGCCCTAAATTATAGGCGGTATGCAAAATACGCAACCAATTTACCTCCCAACTCTCCGCCAACTTTTCGAAAAATTGAAATCGCTCCATGCTAAACTGTGTCACCAACGTGATTTTAGAGGGATACTAAAACGAACATTTTTCCCAAAATCGAATTAAATAGATTTGTTTACCGAGTTTTCGACGACTACTGGGGCCAAAAACCGTTGGCACCGATACACAATCTTGCGAGCGGCCCGGAATTCCCCACAGACCTCATCTTCGTCGTAGTCGGGGCTGTTTACCGCAGGCTTCTTCTAGGGGGGAGGGTGGATACGGTAATTGAGCTTTTTACCTTATTCGCTCCGCAATTGCGTAATCGCTGGAAAGCCAGCTGATCACCGTCCATGCTCGCAAAAAGCTCAAAATGACGGCGAAAGAATTGAGCATATCGATTCTGGGTTCGCATTTTGTACGGAGAGTTCCAGTGGACGATCTGAAAAGAAAAACCCTTAATTTTGTCCGCAATTTGATCTTTACTTGATGTTGCTCTGATTTTACATGTGACTTCGGGTTTTCGTTTTTTAAGCGAATTTAGGTTTGATATGGAACTTTTCACACGCATCATCGCGAAATCTAAAGACATCTTCTACAACCTGTGAGTTGTGAAGGCTTCTTCAAGTGAAAATTTTTTTTCAGTGGAGCAGGAGATTCGATAATGGTGAAACCATTCGGAATGCAGCGTGCAAAGAGCGCAGTTTCCGGAAATACGAGTATAATATCTGGTGGAAGTACGATCTTTGGGTTAGGCGTGAGGGCAAGAGCGAGGGTACGTTAAGCGTGATGCAAAAAATTAGAGATATTTAGATCTGGGACAGCTTCAAAATGGGCATCGTCGCTTTTCCACCAATTGCCGCTGTTATATTTTTGTCAGTAATGTTGATGAATCAGGTATATATGAATGTTTTCCTCGATATACATTATTACTTAAAGTAGCTACGCTATACAGGGCGCAAAATAACACCGAAATCTAGGCAAGCAGCGCCCTGTCGACCACCAACAACCTCAACACATATCTCTCATTGGCCATTCAGCTGCACCAACTAGCATCTGTGCTCCAGAAAGAGCGTGGCATTTCCTGTGCATATATGACGAGAGTGGATGATGCCAAAATTAATAAGTATGTTCTTTAAATGTCTATAATTTGAATAATCGACTGGTTACACAAATTTCCTTTTTTTTCTAGCTTGGAGCGGCAGATCGTTGGGAAACAACTTATCTCTTATCAGAATCTGACCGATTTAACGCTTGAATCTATTGGTGATGAGCCTTGGGCGGTATAATTGGGCCCCAAAAGCTCATTTAAATCTCTAGGAAGTGCTCAGCAACAATTCGGCCCTCGCCAATTCTACGGCACTAAAAATGGCCCTCCAGGATTTCCGTGACTCGATGGATAGTGCGACCGGAATCGATGCTATCACGTAAGTTTTCAGAAGAACTGAGAATCCCAGCGTTCAGATTTTGTTTCAGCTTTTTTACTCCCCTTATCGAGGCGCTGATCTACAACTCGGGCCGTGTGTTCTTTGAGACGAAGGAGGGAGGGTTTTGGGGTGCTTTTAATGCGTTGAGGCTGATACAGTATGCCGGGGAGGCATTCGGTAAGCTATGACACAAAGATTAAGCTTCTTCTTGCGTTGCCTTTCAAAGAACAAGCAACCGAATCTGTGTAGCTCTTGATTTTGACGCTTTCCAGGCACCAAACGAGCTTTTGGTGGGACTTTCATAGCTCAAGGCTTCCTTTCCGAAGAGCACCTACTGACGTATATCCGTAAGCGTCCGGGGCGTTCCGGTGAAGACCTATTTCCTTTAGAAAATAAAAAAAAAAAAAAAAAAAAAAAAAAAAAACATAAGCGGGCCAAAAAAACACCAACCCACGCGAAAAAAAAAAAACCCAACCCGACCCCCCCCCTCCCCACCCCAACCCGGAACTGCGAAAATATATTCAGTTGTCATCGATGAGATGAATGAAAAAATTCTGAAGTAAATTTAGACATTATAAAAATAATATTTTTCAGAAACGAAAGTTTCGGGTCGGACTTGGATCGGGCCCGGTTTGCCATCTTCTGGTTTAATAATATCACGCTGTTTATGGATAGTGTTGTTAATCCGGTTTGTTAGTCTACAATGTAGCTACAAAGATCTTCAAAAATACAGGATTAATCATCATAATGTCTTAGATAGTAAAAAAATCGCTAAAAACCCTATAGTTTTGTACATTTCCAGGCACGCGAGTTCTTGAACCAGAAAATGTCATTAAAGCTGAATGGGCAAAGTACCGATTCATACACCGTACTCTGGACAACAATTTCCACAATACTGGCCAGTCTTTTAATTTGTGCCCCGATTATCGCATATTTGTCGGTGCAAACCAATAGGATGCACAAAAAGATACGGTATGTGGACGCAATCATCAACATCAAAGTTAATAAATTCTAGCGAAAAAATGCAAGAGCTACACATGGAAAAGACTCGAAGCGAGCTTTTGCTCTATTCGATGCTGCCGAAATCCATAGCAAAAAGTTTGAAGCTGGGACATTTGGTATGGACCCAATTTTGAGGAGCTTTAGCTGTTTTAGGTTTTGCCAAAAACGTACAACGAAGCTACGGTCTACTTTTCTGATATTAAAGGGTTTACGAACATTTCTTCTACTTCTACACCTTTAGAAGTGAGGATTTTACCAATTTTGCGACATTTTTTGACCACCCCCCCTGAACAAATCAGTGTTTTCAAGATTGTGCAACTTCTTAATGACCTTTACATCACTATGGACAATGTGCTGGACGGGTATAATTGCTATAAAGTGGAGACTATTGGCGATGCGTACATGGTGGTCTCTGGTATCCCAAAAATCTGCGGCTACGACCACTCTAGTGAGATCTGTACGATGGCGCTGCATATGCTAAGGGTAGGGCATCTTAGGAAGAATCATAACCCTTGTGAAATTCTAGGAAGTCTCAAATATGGTGATACCTCATCGCCCCAGCCAGCAATTGAAGCTGAGGATAGGCGTAAATTCAGGTAATTTTGGTAGTTACCTGTTAATAGAGTTTTGAATTTAGGTACCTGCGCAGCCGGAATTGTCGGTTTAAAAATGCCTAGGTATTGTCTTTTTGGGGATACGGTAAATACAGCTTCGAGAATGGAATCGACAGGCATAGGTCAGTTTCAATTTATTTCCGGGAAGGCGCTCAAGGAATACAAATCTTATATTTCTTCAGAAATGCGGATCCAATTAAGCGAAAATACCACCGACCACCTAAAACGTCATTTCAAAGGCCAATTCGAGTTTGTGGAGCGTGGTATGATGGAAATTAAGGTAACAGTATTGAATTGCCCTTTTATTACGACATTTTTTAGGGAAAAGGTTTAATGTGTACCTATTGGCTCCTCGGCAAGCAGGGGTTCAATTTTCGAGTTGATGCCTAGTGTTAATTTTGCGTGAATTTGTGATTTATTATCACGGGTATTTAGAGGTTTTTCCTTGCTCAAACTACGCAATAAATACTTCTGATATGGGCTCTTTAACTACCGTATCCGCAAAGATCTTTTCAATACCCAGAAGATCAACCAGAACGCCAAAAATTGTACCTCGCGCGGGTCTAAATGATTTTTGATAAACTACCGTACGACAGAAGCTTGTTCCTGGCCCCGAGACGATTTGTGCAATAAGTGGGGCCCCAAAGGTTGTACCCTCACCAATATTGCTATAATCCAATAACAAATTGACGAATTAATACCAATCATATGAATCAACCCGGCTTTTACTGCCAACACAAAAGGCCTGAAAGAACACCCCCCGAAATGTCGGGCTTCCAGATTAATAAGTGTAGGATACACTACTTATTGGACGTCGTGCGGGCGGATCCCAATTTGCCGCCCAATAGGATTAGACTTAAATTTCTACACTACCGTAGCTTCCCGTCTAGGAATCCCTGTGATATTATTTTGTATTTTTAAATGTACCACCACGAAGAAAATGCTGAAAAGCCGTCATGGACTCGGAAGGTCAAGGAAATCTTCAGCACCCAGTGAAAAAAAACATAAAATTTGCAGTGAATAATAATTTAGAGCTGCAAAAGCCACCAGTTTGGTTGTGCCAGTTGCAACTCGACCGAAAAGTGCAATGTCAAAAGCTACAACGATGGTGTCGAGTAATGGCTCGATTATGACGATCAGCGTGAAAACAAAAACTAGGGTATAGCCTGCCGAAGCAGCTTTCTAATCTTTCTTTAGATCTGGGAAGCATTAAAAATGGCGATAGTTGCTGTCCCGCCTCTAGCTGCTGTGATAATTTTGTCGGTTATGATGATGAATCAAGTAAGTTGGATTAGTAAAGTTAAAAATTGTGATTTGAAACTCTAGGCCAGCGTCTCCCTGAACCAAACGTCCAATATCAATTCCTATATGGGATTGGCGGCTATGTTAAACCAACTCGTGGCTGTCTTGCAAAAAGAGAGAAGCATTTTTGGGGATTACGTAACACGATATGACGATCTGGAGAGTGATGAGTGGGTTTGAAAATATTTAAGGTCAAATTAAGAGCTTATAGCCCGGATCGAGTGGCCATGTATCAACAAGTGCTCTTATGTCAAAACCAAACGGATACGATTATTGGCGAGATGACGGGCGGCTGGGTTGTAAGTCACGTTAACTAACATAAGCCCAGGGTTAAGCCCAAGCTAAGCCTAAGCCTAAATCTGAACGTCATCTCATCTAGGGAATAATCTCCGTCGACAACCAACGAATCTACAACGCCACCGAATTTCAAAACCGACTGTCAGCGATGAGACTCCGTATCGATAACTCAACAACTATCGACGAGGTCTTGACGTCAGACACTTAAAACTTGAAAATTTACATTGATGGTTAAGCTACTACAACCCATACATCGAGATTTTGATGTACAACGCCGGAAGGACATTTTACGACACGGACGAGGGCCGATTTTGGGGTGCCTTTAATGCGCTCAGGATGGTGCAGAACGCCGGAGAGTTATTTGGTAAGGCATTCCACTTGCTCTAGAAAACGCAAATTTGGTTTTCAGCTTTAAAGCGAGCGTTTGGCGGGTATTTCTACGATCAAGGATGGTTAGGGATTGATACATATCGAACTTTTTTTGGGTATGAAATTCGATTCCATTTTGATTATAATTCAAGCCTTTAGAGACTAGTGGAGCAGCGGATAAATTTTTGAGAAATGCAAAAATGATTCATGCGGAGGTAGGATCGTTAATAAGCGTTTAATGGACCGATACCTAGATCGGGAGCTTTATCGAAGCGCGTGAGGTGCGAGCGGAATCCGTGATGTCGATCGTCGCGGATATGACGGACAAGATCGTCAGGTAATGTGAAATATTAAAAACTAGCATTAAAACTATTTTACCGTATTATGTACAAAAAGTATTAAGTTATTAAGGACGGATCATTAAGTATTAAAAGTATTCCAACGTAATATGCGATTTTTAGTAATTATTCCGCAACTCCCATCGAAGCGAGAGATGCTGAAGTGCTTTGGTGGTTTGATAATATGACAATTTACTTGGATTTGGTAATTACGCCGGTATGCAGATACTTTTCATAAAAACTATCTCATTTTCTATATAATGCTTTTATTAATTTGTTTAGACTGTCGACTACGTCAACAAAAAACTAACTGCCGGTATCGACTCCGATTTTGAAACTTCCTATACTTTGCTATACACCTCAATTGCTGTAGTATTCGTCAGCTTCCTCGTCTGTGCACCCGTCATTGGATACCTCAGCTATCAGACAAATCAGATGAACAAGAGCATACGGTAATAACAAGTGGTTTCGAAAACACAACGAGGTTTTAGTACGAAAATGGTGGAGCTTCAGTTCGAAAAGGGGCGAAGTGAACAGCTTTTGTACTCTATGCTGCCAAAATCAATTGCAATGAGTTTGAAGCGTGGAGAAATGGTAGGTATCTCATTTTTAGCTTTCGCCACAACAAGATTCCGATATTGCTGCTAAAATATATAGCAAGGCTCAGAAATTAATGATATTGTAGGTACTACCGAAAACTTACAATGAAGCTACTGTATACTTCTCTGATATCAAAGGCTTTACGACAATTTGTAGTGACTCAAGTCCCCTGGAGGTAATCGAAAATCAAATCGTAACTGACGAGTATTTCTTTAGGTAGTAGAATTACTTAATCAGCTCTACACAGTGATGGATGGGGTGTTGGATAGCTATAATTGCTATAAAGTGGAGACTATTGGTACGCTAATCTAGACAAAAAGATAAAATTGCTCTCTAGGTGATGCCTACATGGTTGTGTCCGGAATCCCGAAACCGAACGGTCACGACCATTCGAGCGAAATTTGCACAATGGCACTGCATATGTTAAAGGTTGGAAGAGAGAGAGAGAAAGAGAGAGAGAGAGAGAGAGAGAGAGAGAGAGAGAGAGTACCATGGATAAACGTGGCGTCATTACGGCTTTAGGAAGTCGGCAAAATGGTCGTCCCGCATCGACCGACCGAGAAACTGCGGATGCGAATCGGTATTAATACAGGTGATTTTGAAACACTACTACTTATCGGCGATTTAGGAGTTTGTGCAGCCGGAATTGTCGGGCTCAAAATGCCTAGATATTGCCTATTTGGGGATACGGTAAATACCGCGTCAAGGATGGAGTCGACTGGCATTGGTGAGGAATTTTGGAGAACAGACCCTGGTTAACGCATTAGTGGCATCAGATGATTTTTCAAAACGGCAAAAGCTCTTTTCTATACTTGCTTTTTTACTTTACAAAGTGCTCAGTGATTTGCTAGATTACTTCCTGTATTTTAGCTATGCGTATTCAACTCAGCGACCACACCGTCAAGCATCTCAAGCGTTATTTCAGAAAGGATTTTCAATGGAAAGAACGAGGAATGATGGAAATTAAGGTGTTTCACTGAAACAGAGCGGCCCAAAATTTGACATTTTTAGGGAAAAGGACAAATGATGACCTATTGGCTGACCCAGAAATATGGATTTAACTATGAGGTTTACATCCCGGATGAAGAAAGCCCTGCTGCTCAGGTTTTTCCATAGTATATTCTATTGAAAATGATTTGGCATTACCACTTAAACCCCGCATTTACAAACGAATTAATAAATATTTTAACCTTACCTTGAAGTCGCTCAAGTTCGCTCTGCACAGCTCTGGCTGCGAGTTCAAGCCGAGCTGTACGTTGTAGCGACACGGAATTTTGTGGACGTACTCTGGGAAGTCGACAAAGATTGCGTTCAAAATATCCTGACGCTGGCTGTTTCAAGGGACGAAAATTGGTACCTGATCTGCCAGCATGGTTTTGCCAAAATTCCGCAAATTCGTCTCGGCCAGGCTACGCCAGATGCGATTCCAATCGACGCGACGCATTTGGGCGAGATTTACGAGGGCCACGCCGGTGTTGAAGCCGGAGCCCTAAAACCCAGATTAGAATAATTATGAAATGGCCACGCATTTTAAGGAATGCACATCAGGAACCTACAAGCGCTGGCCAAACGTGGTGCACCGGATCTTGAGTGGTATACCAGCGCGACAAATTCTCGGCTAGGCCATAGATTTTGCCATTTTTAAGGTTGTCAAGGTCCTCAATTAAATCATCGATTGAGCCAACGATTAATAGATCAGTATCGAGGAGCAGGATCTGAAAGAATTGATTTGGAAAAATAAACTGGATACGCTGATAAATCCGATTTAAAACCTTTTCCGAAACTTTCCAGCTGGCTTAACTACCGACAATCTTGAACGTATTTTTTTCATACTAAATCCAAGCGATTAAGCTTCACTGAAGCCAATCGATGCAGCGCCACCAAAAAAGACCTCACCCGCTCCAAATTCCTCGGCAAAATATCGGCCAACAATAGCTTGATCAATCCGAAATGCCGTGAGTAGTGATTGTTCGGGATCCACTGCACATGCTCGATGAACTCCTCAGAATCGTAGAAGGCATATTTTACTAAAACAATCCGTTATGTTCATTTTCCCTAACATCCTTACCATCAGCCAGCTCCCAAGTCTCAAACAGCTCTGGTAAGACATCCATAGAACGGTGGTCCGTAATAAAGTGAAAGAAAATAGGTTTGTTGTAATAATTTAATAAGCTTTTGATGAGGACAATAGCTCGATTTGTTGTTTCATAGCCGGCCACTACCATCGCAATGTTTAGGGCCTAAAGTCAGAAGAAAAAGTCATGAATGGGTTGAAAACCCTGCCTGGCATTGGTCTACCTCTTCTTCCAGTTGCGCTGGCCTAATTTGAATTCCCAGAAAATAGGAAACTAAACGTTAATAGAATCTACATTAAAATGATTTAATACCTTCGTATGTTGACATTAAATTTAATAAAAACAATATGATACTGCAGCTAAATACAGCGTAGATGGTGAACAGAATTTTCCGCTTTTTCTTCATGGCTGAAAAAATATAATGAATTTTAGAATTATGAAGACAGCAAAAAAGCATGTCAAATGCAGGAAAAAATAAAATAAAGCGGTATCGCTAAAGAAACTGTCCATATGGGCCTCAAAAAGGGGTGTCACACCCCGATTCTTCCGGGTCAGCGATCTGGGCAACGGCACTTGAGGCACCAAAAAGAGGCCGCTGTCAGAAAATAGGCAATAGCGGATTAAGAGGAAGAATGGATACGGTTTAGAACAATCAAACGTAGCTTTCTCTCTCCTCTCTCTCTCTCTGTCTCTCTCCCTTCCTCTCTCTCTCTCACTTTCTCCCTCTCTCGGTCGTTCTCTTCTATAAAAAAGATCCAATTAGAAGTGTTAAAAACGCAGACACGCAATGTCCTGACCCAGCAACCCGGCTCGTTTTATTGGCCATGCATTTTTAAGGAGACCCGGAACCGCTTGGCTTGTTGCATTTTAGGTTTCTAGAAAACAAGAACCATTCTTTCAAAAAGAAATAAATAAGTAAAAAGCTCAAGGAATCGATTATGGGGACCTACAGGTTGACCCAAGTTGGCCCAACGGTCAGCCTCGGTACTCAAATAGTGACGATCCAGTGTGTAAATATTGGGATGCATACAGGAAACGTTGAGTAGAGGTTAAGTTGGGCTTAATATATAGGCTTGGGCTTCCGGATCACGCTATTATTTAAGTACTGTATTAAAGAGACCGAGCCAAAGAGAGAGGGAGGGAGAGAGAAAGTGGGAGAGAGCTAGCTAGAGACGGCGAGAGAATGATAGAAAGCGAAAGAGAGCGAAGAGCGTGAGAAGGGCGAGGGAGAGTGACAGCGAGAGAGTGCGAGAGAGTGAGAGAGCGAGAGAGAGCGAGAGAGAGACAGAGACAGAGAGCGAGACATAGAGCGAGAGAGTGAGAGCAAGAGAGAGCGAGAGAGAGAGAGAGAGAGAGCGAGAGAGCGAGAGCGACAAAGCGGGTGAAAGCTCGGATCTAAATGAAATCTGGAAGTCCCTTGAATGGGCCAAAGAACGCCATCTCGACTCCTATAGAGGGGTCTGGGCCCACACGCAATCCGCCCTAAAAGCCAACAATGGCCGATTCTCAGGCATTTTACGGGGGCTGCCAAAAGTGAGGAAAAGCTCAAGTGTGGGTAGTTATGGGGTAGGCGAATGGAGGTAGAAAACAAAGGCCTTCAAGATGTCAAGAACAAAAAGTTTTACAGTTTTCGCGCAACTCAGTAGCGTAAAGTCTTCGCTGCAAGCATGAATAGCAAGAAAAACCTAGGACTTCTTAGCGTATATGCGGTGTCTCTTTCTACTCGTCGACTCGGGTTGAGTGACAGCCGGGAGTCGGTGATGCATCCCCTAATTTCATTCTATTCATCCAAACCCACACCCCTTCCCCATGCGCGGCCATGATTTGCATACGGGACTAGCGGTCAAAGTCGGCTTCCCGCCCATGTGTTGATGGATTTTGACGCTAGATGATAGATCGAGGTATGGAATCTTTCCGGCGGTCTGGTGGAGGGAGTAATGAAATAGATAATAGGTTAGGATTAGTTATAATTATGTTAGTTATATTAAATTTAATCTTAGATTTAGGCGTTGGCATCGGCATAACCTTAGCCTTCTCGCGTTTAAAGTACGTAAATATTAGTAAGAAGGAGCATTGTGCCCCGTTATAAAAATACTTGCTCTGGACTCGGCGTGGATCGAAAGATGAATATCTCGAGGTACGGATGTTTGCCCGCCCTCTGCCCTCCGAGGCGCTAAACACGGTCAAATGAAAGACGATCCCGACGAGATGGGTGTCATGAGAGATCCATTAGAAAATTGTTAGGGGCTGGTTGGCCACAATAGAGGTGCATAACCAATGAGAATGTGAAATCTAACATTTTTGGCTATACCGTCGTTTTTCCAAGGAACTCCCCATTCTCGTCACTGGATTTTGATCGAATTTCCGACGTGAATTGGGTGCATCCAGGAAAGGGGAGGGTCTGGTAAAATACCAAAATTTAAGATTCGGGAATTGACGAAGATGCAGTATTTGCTGAATTTTGTAAATTTATAGAACTTCTTGGATGTTTTCGGAACATTTTTCTTGGATCCGAACCGGTATTAGTTAAAATCAAATAACTAGTTAAACGATTTCAGGCTTAGAATTTATCTAAATTACGGTTTTAATGACGTAATGCGTAACTTAAAAAGTCTAAAATTATTTGCAAATATACACATCGTTCATTCGAACCCGGTGTGAAGAAATGTGTCTATCTGACGCTTTCCGGCTCAAGGGCCACTTCAAATTAGCGCGCCACATGTTGCGCACTTTCCGCCAGCCTCCAATATATTTGCAAAATTTATACCAGACCCGAAAATCATCACAAAACAAAGATGACACATAAAATTTATTATTTACTAAGCTTGTGGGCGCGGTTCGGTTTCTTCTGCATATTTCGACAATGCGCTAGTTGATGCAAAGACAACGGAGGAAATTCTTATTTGACCCGAGATTGTCTATATGAGTCGGGCCTGATTTTCAGCGTCATAATCTTTTGCGTTCACGGCATTGATACCCTGATACGCAAAGTACTGCATAGTTATTTTTACATCTGCCACGGCGGATGAGAACCAATCTCCGGAGGCCGGCCTGACGTGCGCCTCCAAATCGTAGCTGATCCCGGTGTTCCACTCGCGACCCTCAGAATTTCGAGCAATCGCACGGCGGGTGATTGTTTCTCAAAAAAAATCCGGATAATGCAGTTGAACCATGCTGAAGATCGCGCACCCGGAAAACGTTCGTACCTTTTGCAGGTCCTGTTGTTAGCTCCTTGATCTGTTGCAAGAACCCGGTCAGCAGCTGGTCGATTTCATCGAATTTCGGCATTATCAACTCGTACGGAGTGCCTGGAAACGATACTGACATGCTTATTAATGGGACATGGATGGCCCGTTTTGACCCCGACTGGTCTGGCAAAACCCCAGTTCCTAGTCATCGGTTCTGTGCTAATTGGTACAGACCGTCTGACAGTAAAGCTGTTAACAGATATGCCCAGATATAGGCCATAGATACCAACCTTTGGTACTTCCGGTGATCATGCGCAGCATATCGTAGAGATCCTTCACCTGGATATCATCCACCTCTAGCGTAAAGTGCTCAGTTTTCTTCCGAAGCGTCGCTTCGGCAATCACGTTTGGGACGAGCTGACCGGAAATAAAACAGAAACGCACAAGCCCACCAGCTCTCTAGTCTCCGACAGTTGCAACACCTCAAATGTGGGCGCATTCGCATAATCGCCCTCAAACTCGATTGATTTGGACGGCAGAGCTCGGTCGGCGGGGTGCTAAAGGAGTTCTCTTTTTTTGATGTTGATAGAGATTGTCAGATGTTAATTTTATGAGAAACGAACCCTGCTATTGAGTGGGAAACCGAGGCTACTGGCAAGCACCTGGGGCCAGGAAGGCTCCACTGATAACGATGCAGCAATAAGGGCAAGCAGGAATATAAAACAGGCCGAGAAGCCAGAATATTTCGATTTATCAGCAGGGGCCGGAGTATTTGCTCGGCTCATTCTTTGAACAAAACTTTCAGAGCCTCGTTTGATGGTTATCGATTGGTTGTAGTGTTGCTGGTTGGTTGGCTGGTGGTTGTTTGGAGTGAGTAGGTGAGCGACTAGCCCAAGCAGACGACGCCATGGTGTTGGCCTTGGCCCATAATAATCTATATTAGTATTTGCATTAAAGCAATCCTGAGGCACTGTGTGTGACCGGTCGTCATCGATCCATTCTTCTTCTTCTACGGATTGGTTGGGCCTGGTTAGAGGTGCCATCCCAAGCTCCGATGATGCTGACCAAGTAATTCTGAAAAAAGGGAAAAAGATATATTTATTTATACCCGAGAAGATCGAGAAAATGAGGTAATCGGATATCGTAAAAATCCTTGGGTCGTGTGACCGCCATGGTGATAAAACAGTTTGAAAATTTATTCGAAAAGTTTGCCACTCCCGTACTTTGTATGCAAAAAAAAGAATGTTTAAAAAACGAATCACATCGAATCCTAGCAATTACGGCAACAAAACCTTACCGGTAAAGGATAAAAATCACAGAAACAAAGCGGTGGCGGGCAAAAAATCGCAGGCTATACAGCCGGTTTTGTGCTGTAGACAAAAACACACTTATAGCTCGTCCTTGCCCGGCCGGAGTTGGCTTTCCAAGAATTTCTGGTTTTCATGGAGAAGGGCAATACCGTTGTACGCAAAATAGCGCATCGAGACCCTGACTTCGACAGCTTTTGGTTGATAGTTGAACATAATCCAGCTTCCGGAGGCGGGCGAGACGACAGTATCAAACTCATAGCGAATGCCCGCGATCAGGTGTTGGTCTCGACCATTTCGGCCCTCGACGTAGTGAGTCAGCGTTTCTAGAACATGCACAAATTTTCTAGGACGGCTTATTGTACAAGCTGCTTCAGGAAAAGGCCAGGAAATTTGGATTCCGTTCTTTCCGGTTGGAAACGTGACCAAAATGACCAAAACAGGCAAACAGTGCAGTTTTTAAGGTGTACAAAATTCTTTTTGGATTGATTGAAACGAAGCCACGTGAAAAGCAAAAAAAGATGAGCGTAGTGAATTACTGGGCAGGTATCGGTAAGATTAAAACGCGTAACATGCACCCCCACTAAAATGGACTTACCAGTCGAATTGCCCTCCTTTTTCAGCTTCATCCCTTCGATGAGTGAACGCATCATCCCTTTGACCTCTGGTGACGGCAGCACCAACTCGTATGCGGTTCCTAGAAATTATATATTTTTCCTCAGCCAATGAACTAGTCTACAAAGGTCAACACTGTGTGGCAGAAATATCCGAACTCATTTGTAAATTAATTTTTGGTAGAGTAATTTACTGGATTTCATAAATGGCTTTAAGCGAGGGGTTTTGACTAGAAATAATAATATTCCAGAATTCCGGTTAATCAAAAATTTGTGTTTTATGCAATTAAACCTCTTAAATTATATTCCATCCAATTATGTATTATCGTAATCTTCTAGTCATCCTCTTTTCTTTCTCCCGCTCAGCCCCCCACTTGAATTCTTCATTATTGACATTCCTACACCTATAATTTGTTCATTTGTTGAAGCTTGATGTCAGAAATAAATTATTATTATAAACCTTGATCACACGGTTTTGTCCGTGTCATTCTAGCCCATTCTGTATCGTATTCTTGGCTCTTGGCCTAGAGTCACCCACCTTCCGCGCCAACGATAACCGATCGTAGCGTATTGTAGAGGTAATCCGGGCTCAGGTCATCGGGGTCGATCTTGAAGTGCTCCTCCTTCTTCTGCAGCACCAATTCGGAGATGACGCCCGGCAATCGGTGATCAGTGAGGAGAGCCATGTGCTTTACCAAGTCGGACGCTTCTGAAGGAGGCAGTCTGGACACGCTCACGATTTCTGTAGCGACGGGTGGCCAAAGCTAAAGAAAATTTTTAGAGAATTGAAAAATTCGCTCTATGGCAATTTGGAAGGTCTATCGAAGTCTTCGCCTTCCGTGAATGAGCTATGTGATCAGTGGGTATACTGTACTTACAAGGAGACGTTTTTTAGTGACAATCGAGTTTACGCACGGGATCTAGCCCGTCTTGTGCAGATTCCGATCTCGATCTGATCGTTTCGCAGATTTTGAAAACAGCCTCGGAATCTGCACAAGATATGCTTGGTTCCGTACAGAAATTCGATTGGCACTAAAAAACGTCTCCTTGTTAGTTTTGTGGATCTGAGCGCTAACGTCCTAATGTTAAACCGTCGAACGTAACAAAGGGACCCACCAGCAGGAGCGACAAGAGCAGCAGCCGCCACCCCTGATGCATTATCGTAACTGCTAAAATCTGTAAAGCAAAGAAAAAATTTGTTGAAAAATAAATGGAATCGCCACTGCCACAGCGGGGAGCCGTCAACGCGACCGCGTAATCTTGCGACAGAAAATGGCAGCGATAAACTTTAAATATTTCGCGCGCTCCCAAGGTTCGCTTTTCTAACATCTTTTTCTAGCCGTAGATCTATTCCATAAATAAATCCAAGGGACCGAAAGCCCACTTCCCGAAAACTAAGAGATCAAATTCCACGATTTTATACGTATGGTGTCACAAAGCAGGACAATCCCAGATATCATTGGCCCTAACAGAAAAGTCGCCAAAACAAACACGTATCCAAAAAATGTAACTGATTTCCATTAAATTGTGCGATAAAAATCAAAGATTAATTTAGGCATTTATAAGATAATTAAAGCTCGATCTTCTGAAGCCTCAGCTGATCTTCCAAGAATTGATGACTCTCTTTCAGCATTTCGAACCCTTGATAAGCGTAGTACTGCATTCCGACTCTCACGGTGGCCGCTTTTGCGACATGATTTGGCAAAGGCCAGGTGCCGGAAGCCGGAGTTACGACAATGTCGAAATCGTAGCGTATCCACGCCATCCACTGGGTCCCTTCGGCATTTCGGGCGACCGCGAAGCGGGTGGTGGTTTCTGGAAACGGGACTGGCTAGAAAGATCCGCTTTGAGAAAATGCTGGCGTTTCGACGTTTGGATAAAACATGGTAGTAAAAAGGGACTAATAAAAGATCAAGGATTTCGTACAACTAAGACAGGAATCCAAACTGCTCGCAACGAACTTACCTTTAAGTTTGCCCTTGCTTTGCTGCTGAATGCGTTTGAGCAGACTGGCCAGCAGCTCCCTCACATCCTCCTTTGGCATTATCAGGTCGTAGGGCGTTCCTCAAATTCTTGCTGTGCATTTTAAAACCTTAGGGCCTTAAAAAGATCATGAAGGCCCAGGAAAAATTAGCACAAAACAGGCGTTGGTTCTAAAATTAACATAAATTTTCTCTGCGGCCGTTTGCCTCGCCCCACCCTCTGCTCATTTTTTTATTAGCATTTCCGGTTGGCTCGTTCCCGATTATAGATGACCCCCATCCTGATCGAGCCTTCCTGATCCCCTTAAGGGGTCAGCGTCAGAGAAAACGTCACTACTTCGAAAGTGCAACGCGAATTCACTACTTCGATAACCATAGGTTTGAAAAATGATGGTTTTAATTTGGTTCTGCAAAATCCTACCTTTCGTGCTGCCCGTAATTGAGCCCAGAATATCGTAGAGATTGCTCAGTTCGAGGGAACTGACATCCATCGTAAACTCCTCCTCCTTTTTCTGTAATGTGGCTTCGGTGACTGCGGCGGGCAGACGAGGATCGGTTAGGGCCAGAAAGTGTTTTCGCAAAAGTGTCCCTTGTTCGGCCGGCAGATTCGTTACCGGCACAAAGTGTGCCGTCATCCCATTGAGTAGCTAGAAAGCAAAATTATTCATTTAGGTTTCTCTAATGTAGGCTCATGATTAAAAAAAAGTAAAAAACTAGCCAGACTAGACAAAGAAAAACTAGACAACCGTTCTCCGAATTGAAAAGACTTACCACTAAAAATAAGGCTAAAAACCGAACGAAGCGTTGCATCAACTCCATTTAATCGCACGCTGGTCAGCCGAACGGACAAAAAAGAAGACTGGCCAATTTCTCGCGGCACAAATTGGTCAACTGGCTCGATCGCCCGATGGAGCAGAGGGCCTGTTGCGCAATAAAATTCAAAATCTTTCCGAAAATGGTTGTAGAAATCTCTACACTATCAAAAAATGACAAGGTAATACGAGAGGATCATAGCATTCCTTAACCCGGAAGTAAAACGAAAGATTACTATGAGTACTTATTTATTCAATAGCTAAAGTATTTACAGTAAGTAAAGAAAAAAATTTCCCGCATGAAACAAAATTCGCCGAAGGGCCAAAATCCCCGAGGGCCGCAGATTTGCCAACGCGAAAGCAAGAGGATGATTCTACAGATGCAAATGTCCCTTGAACCCTTGAAATCAAGAGTGAACAAAAACGCTGTGATTAGGATATTCGTTCAACTGCCCGAGTTACCGAGAACAGATCTGGCGCTTCAACAGCAAAAGAAGATATCCTGAGCTGTCCCTCAATGATGGGTACCGAATAACTAATCGTCCTTTGGAGTTTGATATGATAGTTCACGAGGCCAATTTGGCCGAATCGGCTAATGATCGGCTTCGCTATTGTTAAATCGAGGTTTGAGGTTCCCGGTCGATTGGCCAGTGTTTCCATCTGGTGACCGAAGATCTCGCTGACCGAATTCACGGGCATGACCAGGTGGAAGACATCGCCTAGAATGTGACAAAATAATAGAAATTTTCGCTCAAGCGTTAGTTTGCAAAATACAAACCATAGATTTCTCTCGTATTCTCACAAATCCAATCGGAAATCGACTTCCAGGAAGAAGCTGGTTGTCGAAATTTTATCTCGGCAACATGGAGTTCAGATTGCCGTTCAAGCTCCACGATATGAATGTCGAAGGATTTTGTTGGTTGCGTACGTTCTGTCGACTAGAAAATAAAGTATTAAAGGGATGCGGAAAGTTTAGATGGCAGGGTTGGTTCCTTTAATAGCGTAAACATTTGGCTCTTTGCCAATTGCAGGTTCCATCCTTTTGAGAAGTGTCGAAAACTCTCAATCAAAACTTGGAAATCGAGGATTACCAATTGGTCCGAAGCCCAACTATGGCTCTTCTCCAGTTCCACCGATAAGGCTGCTAAACGCGTTCGCGAAATGTCGGGAAGATTCACGTTGGAATGTTCCACAAAATCAGCTTCAATTCCTGTGGTTCCTGCCGGTGGTAGGTCTCGTTTCACATCAAACTTTATAAAAAAATTTTTGAGTGTTGAATAAAAACATACAAATCGCCCGGGGACCAGCCCAGAATCCATCATTAGGTTGTGGAACCTGTGCGCGTTCAGGTAGGTCAAGACCGCCGTAATTGGTAGCAAAACCATTGCTGCTTTCCAGTGAGGTAAATTGGATAACTGCGTATTTGAAGTGGCTAAATCCATTGGGCTAGTGGTACATGCAGGGGACCGGAGGGGGACTCGTGGTGGTGAGATTTGTTGCGCCAAAAAATTGCTGGCAACCGGGCTCGTCTGCCCTTACCGTCCAATCTTTGGGCCGCTATCTGTTGCAGGAGAAAATTGCAGAAAACCGTGCCGCAAGGAATTTGCTGTCAAATCAATCTGATTTTTGAGCCTGTTTTGCTCATGAACAGAAGAATGTGCTCATAAAACCGCAGGGAAGGTGTAAATTCTAACCATTCTTGACTAATAACCTTCATAAAACCATGTATATCTGAATCCGGAAAAATATTGCCTTTTTATACGATGAAATGCATTTGTTGTTCATGTATTAAGCCAGAGACTCTGTACTTGCCAAAATCCGGTTTTCCGGAATGCTATCGGCGGGAATGCGATTCTACTAAAATTCGAGTATCAGAAAACCCATCAAATGTTTGACAATAGGCTTTTGACGTCTGTGTCGGCAGGTTAATCGAAAACGTGGAACGCTATGATGTAGCGAAAGGGGGAAAACGGATGGTGTTCACATGCAGCTCTTTGCCCAATCGGTTTTCCATCGGTTAAAGACTAAGACACAAAAACTTCATTTTTCGCAAAATTTATTGATCGGAGCTTATATACACAATTGGATCGTTTTTTTGTTTTGGCGTAGGTCTTCCTAGGGCCCCTGGAACACTCGCTGGAACGCCACATGGGTTTTCGGCTAGTCGGTGTGTCCCACCCGTCTAAACAATCTTTTTATTATCCTCTTTCCCGGGCTTAAAAGCTCTGCGGAAGCCACGGCGTATCTACTCCGGCCACATGCGAACACACGTGTGATTGGGCATGGAAAAGGTTTGATTTCCTGCTTGTTGGTTGCAACTACTGCAGGGTAAAACGTTTCTCTGTCTTCTTTCTCCGAATTTTTAGCTTTTTTAGTCAAAATTTCCGTCATTATTTACTTCTAGTCTTGCCAAGATTTTAAGGAAAATTCCTTGTTTTCTATGTTCTGTATATCCGCTTTCGACCTTTTACCTACCTACTAAACGTTCCAAACCTTATCCATCTCTACATCTGCCCCGTTAAATTATCACGCTAACGAGTCGCCATCCTTCAAACCAGAGGAAATGGGCTATATTTCAGCGGCTTCCTCGGTCGGTCGTTCGCTCCCTCTCGCTCCCTCTCGCTATCTCTCGCTCCCTCTTCTTTCTTTCTAAAAATAATGCGCCCACTTCCCCAAATGTAGACCCGGATCTGGTCCAAATTATGGGGCGAACGCTGACCTATTCGGGGTGAAGCATACTTTTTCAGGCCTTGCGCATCCGAGTAGATAATTGCGTTATGGCCGGCTGTAGCTTCCGAAAATTATTGCCGCCTACGCTCCAGAAAGTGCTTACTATAAATTCAGATGTTGTTGCTGTCATTAATTCGTGCGTTTGACATCCATATGAAGCGGAAACGCGCTCGAGTCTACCCCGTACCTGTCTCTCATAAAATCTGGGAGCTCGTTATTTTGGCTACTGGTTTTTGCAGTACCCCTTCGAGGGCCGGCTGTTTGAATTGGACTTTTGTTCGCCGAAAACTAGATTATTCAAAAAAATCTACGTAGATTTGAAGCTTTTACCTCCCCTTATATCTTAGTCGATAAAATTTGATGCCCGACTTTGACAGGACTTTAAATATCAGATTTTTTCCTCGTTTTCACCTGCCCAGATCATCGTTTGGCCTGTGACCTCCCCCGAAAAATATTGGGACCTTCCTGCCTTGGAGGATGGGGTCGAGTGGGGTCCTCGGCTTCTTGTCCCCACCCCTCACTCACTCAAAACAATATCCCGCATAAGAAAGGGGGAATCCCAGAAAAAACTGAAAGAACACGCGCCACGTGCCAACTCCCCTCAAGTATTGCTCGTGGATTTTAGAAGATCGTTTTCTGTGAGGTATCCGGAAGATTCCGGCAATTTAGAGAGATACCTAGAATTAACTTGTGAAATCACCGGTTCGTTGATTTGTATTAGAGAGAAAATTCTTATTTACGTACGGACCTGTCTTTTGAGTAGTCAGTACTCCCAGGGACTTCTTTTCGAGTTTATTTTAGCAACTATACGACCAATATCCGCTCCAAAAGGTTATCCGCGCCAAAATTGGACCCTCCCGGGCGTTCAGAGGATATTCGTAGTTATGGATGTTTACCCAAAAGTGCGCGAATTCGAGGAGGAGAACTTGGCGGTTCCGATGAACCTCTAATATATTGGGGCACGCATTTGTGATTTATCGAATACTTTTTTTGCGTTTCAAGCATTACGCTGCGGAAATTGTTCTTAAATTCTTGAACACTGCTCGATACTGCGTTCCATTTTTCTCTCAACGGGACGATTATCCTCCTTTTCTGCGGGTTTTTGAGTACTGTGTCATCTAAGAACCCCTGGGTACTGTAACGTATCCGGACAACTTTCAATATCTATAGCCCCATCCCTCAACGATGTTTTTGTTTTGAACACACGCATATCCCATCGCACATCCAGCTCAAATTTGATTTCCTATTTACTGCCCCGGAGCGCAAAGCCCACTTCTCGGCGAAGCGGCTCTCAGACGGCTTATCCCGGAGGATAGCCATAAAAATGAAGACTGGGAAGAGAATGGGTGGGGGGGGAGGGGCAAAATAAGCAGAAGCCTGCGCGAATAAGCGAGGGTGGCGAGGGTGGATCTGAAGTGAAGCAGGAGATACGAATCCCGTGAAATTTGGGGGGAGGCATCGAAGCGAGAAGCCCGAGAAATGCGATACTTCCACAAAAAATTTCTTTTGGTGCTGAGGCATCGTTTAGCTCGGAAGTTTATCGTTAAATTATTTTATTAGTGTGAAAAGGCCAAATTATGGCCTCTTGGGATCGTATCTCGCATGATATCTGGTTTCCAAAATTCACGAACCCTTTAAAAGAATTATATATGGAACCTGATTTAATACGTTAGCGCTTCAGTTTTGATGTTATTTTGTTTTGATATTAGGTAGCCTTGAATTTTGATATTTTCAAAGGTGGAACCTCGTGAAAATCGCCTTTTTTTGATTGACGGTTAATACAAAACTCTAGGATATTTTAGCATATTTTCCCCCTAACTATTTTTTCCTACCCATTTTTTCAACCGACTCAAGCCTATTTCCATCCCAGGCTTCAATCTATTTCCGGGCAGGGGGATTCCCCCCAAATTCACACTCGACTTTGATTGGCCGTGTGAGGCCTAAGTGGGCCGCAACCCGGAGTGGGCCCCATGGAGATAAGGCTCAGCTGGGCCAAGTACCCTAAAAAATCGGGAAGGGGAGGTAATTCCGGAAATTCCCACACACGCGATACGGCTAGCGTACTACGGTGTACGGCTGGGGGGGGGGAGGGGAGAAGGGCGAAGATCGTAAATTTTGAAACTAGGGATATACACTCGATTTTTCTGTTTTAATTGGACATTATTGAAGGGTTCTTCTTTAAGATAGAAAACGATATGAGTTTCGAGCTATAACTCCCAATAAAGTATTCGGACATTAAAATTTTCTAGTTTTTGGGCCCGTCGAAAGTTAGCAAATCTGATATGTTTTATGGCCAAAACATCCATTCTCAAGCCTTTCCTTTCAATGCCTTCGTGCCAAAGTTCACCCTCCCCCAATTTTTGCCCCAGGGCAAGCCCACCCTCACAAACGACTTCTTGTTAGCCCCCTTTATTGAATGGGGCGCCCACGTTTTATTGTGTTTTCGTAGACTCTGCGGAGAGCTTTGCTTGCTTTTTGGTGTCCCGGTACTCTAAATTACGGGTGGGTCCCGGAATAGCAACATCTGGACGGCCGGTGGGTGCGTGACGGATGTGAGACCGTCTAAAAATTCGCTTATTACGTTTTGAGGGTTTTTGTGGGCTGTCTGATAGATTCGAAGTATCCTAAACCTGCAGACAACTTCTAACCCTTTTGCCATATTGCATGTTTTGTTTGGAATAAGCCCCATTAGAACATGTGTTTTCTATTCAGGAGCTTGACCGGCCTGGCCGTAAGGATCCCATTACGCGGTGCTTTTTCGTGGACGGAAACGTCAGTGTCACATGAAAATGGCAAAAGCCCGGGTTCCAGATGGGCGTCACTTCCTTCGTGTCGCATTATGACCCTGACTTTTTCGATTGTTTTGTACCATTTTTGGGCTTTCTCTTGACTCTCTCTGATTATCTCCCTCCATTTTTCATACCGATGCCTTTTATCAGTTTTCGAGCTTGCAGTGTACTTAAGTAAACGTAACAAGCATTTCCACCTCAACTCCCAAAACCCACATTTCAAAACCCTAATTCTTCTAAAGGGCAATGAAGTGGAACAAAACCACAGGCAAGAACACCTGTTCAAGGTGATTCAGAAAGCGAGTGAGGGTGGGGGCTTTGGGCGGCGAGGGTGGGGCTTTCTCGAATGCTAAAAGGTGCCATTCAACCCTTCCCCATCCCCTTGTCGCACGTGTAACGGTTGTGCTTGGGGGTCGTTTTCGCCGGGGTAGAAAAATATCCCTAGGCACCGGCTCGGGTTCCAAGGTCGGGGCGTGTTCTGTTTTGTTTTGGGGTTCTAAATTTTGCTTAGATTTTAGTGAGGCTTTTGTTGCTTATGTTGATATTTTTAGTTCTTAAGGTAAGCCAGGTATTTAGCTTTTTTGTCGCGTAGGCTAAGCGTTCCCCCTACGTAGCACGTGCTTCTCGGGTGAAGCTTTTTTGGGTTGACTCATTCCACGCAGCGCATCGAGCCCGTACATCACTCCACAAATACAAAGGGGTGCGGGCGGCATACAGCTGATCCGGGATGCTTTCGTGGCGCAACATCATCAAGTGCTCGTCTTTAAGGTTATCTATTATTGTTCCTTTGTCTTTCTACCGTTTTTGTGTTCATTTTCGTTGAAAAATACTGTATTAAATATATACTAGGCTTACGCATTAGCTGA